CCCCCAGCCCCGCTGGGCCCTCCCCTCCCTGCCCGCCCCGGGCTGTGCGGTCCGGGCCTGAAACTTAACACTCTCGGTCCCGTCTTCGCCCTGTGACCCTCGGCCCCGCACTCCGGACCGCTCGGATCCCTGCGGGTCACAGAGAGGAGGGCGGGAGGCCCGAGGGGCACTTGGCCAGACTGGTGCAGTTGTGCAACCGGAGAGCGGGGACCCGGGTGTGGCCGTCTACTTCTGGACTCTTCGCCCTTAGGATCTCGAGCAATAGCCCCCTTTTCTGCAGTCTGCCCGGGCTTAGCTAGAAGAATTTGCCAACTCAAATCTGGTCCGGGACCGTGCGGGTGGGAAAGCGGATCACAAAAATAAATTGGTCTGTGTGTTCGTGAATGTGCGCGCAGGAGCGCCTGCGTCTGTTTTGTCATTTTACTTTTGGGGGGCGGGGGGGGGGGGGGGGGGGAGTGGTGTTGCAATTTGGAAATTTTAATAATGTTTTTTGGGAGGAAACTGCCAAGTCCCAATCCAAATTGAACAACAGTCCCAAGTTGAAGCCCTTTATAGCCTTTCCGGAGCCTGGCGGGTTTTCTTTCTGAGGCTGATTGCTTTTGTCTTTGGCTCGTCTTGCACAGCACTTCCTGGTTTGGGGGTGGAAGTGAAATGTTACAAGCCCGACTAGAAAACGCTCCTCTGCAGAGACTGTCAGCCGTGGTTGTTGCCTGTTTGTGATGAGACCTGACCGTAAAACCTGTTGCCCTGCAATGGCATTGACACTTTGTGCCTCGGGTCCCCACTCTCTACAGTGTTGTGTTTTAGGCAGTTGAAGAGAGAGAGGCGAGATTATAGGGAAAAATTTGTCATGCTACAGGGATTTTGGCAGCATGGAATTCTTGCCTTTTCTCATTTTTGGGGATTCTGATTTCCCTTTATTCAAGAGACTGGCTAGCCTCATTCTTAATGGGGGGAGGAAGGAGGGATGATTTAAATGCATTTCCTCTTAAGGTGTTCTACTTACTGCCTAGGTATGTAGTATTTCCAACAAGCAAGCTGCAGTCTGTTGGAATCTATAATAATAAAAGTGTAATATGCTAATTAGATCGGACAGCCAAACGACCTTTTGGCTGCCATTCCGGACATCCTTCTGGACAAAGCCACGGCAGTGGGGTCCAAGGCAGAGGTGGTTAGGGGCGATCAGGCAGGCAGGTGAGTGGTTAGGGGCAATGAGGCAGGCAGGCAGAGTGGTTAGGGGCAATCAGGCAGGCAGGCAGAGTGGTTAGGGGTGATCAGACAGGCAGGCAAGTAGTTAGGGGCGATCAGGCAAGCAGGCAGAGGGGTTAAGGAAGATCAGGCAGGCATGCAGAGTGGTTAGGGGCAGTCAGGCAGGCAGGCAGGCAGGCGAGCAGTTAGGAGCCAGTGGTCCCGAATTTCGAGAGAGATATCCAACTGCTGATCCTGCAGGGAGGGGATTGGGCCTAAACTGGCAGTTGGACATCCCCTGAGGGGTCCCGGATTATGAGAGGGTACAGGCCGGGCTGAGGGACCCCCCCCCACCAACTATGATTGTCATTTTAAGAAAAATTGATTGATGGCATCAATTACATGCATAGTTGGGAAAAGTGTCATAAGCCTGAAAAAATACTTTTCTGATTGTGACCAAACAACGACAGTAATTTAAGTGAGCAGTAAAACTATAGGGATGAGTGATAGGCAGCCCCACCTCAGGCCCAGGAACTGGAACCATTTTCTAACTCAGGAGCCTAGAGGCCCTAGATCCAGGGGTTTGATCACTGAGAACATTCATCCGGAAGAACGGTTCTCATTAAAGCTTGAGATGTTTTCCTAAGGAATATTTCAACTGGAATTTAAACTAATTAGGTTTATATTTCCTGAAAGGCTTCCATGTATATCCTTGTGAAAGAAATTGTAGAGGGAGTGATATAACGATTTAGCCCTGGCTGGATTGCTCAGTGGTTAGAGCGTCTGCCCACGGACTGAAGGGTTGTGGGTTCCATTCCAGTCAAGGGCAGGTACCCTGGAAAAAATATCCTTGGGTGAGGATTAACAACAACAATAACAACAACAACAAAAAGATAATGAAGATTTAAATACACATTTTCTGCTCTCTAGAGATTTACACTTTAGCTGAAGCCATGTGGCATTTATAACATGTGATCACTTGGGTGTCATTGAGAGACATACAATGTGTGAATAGTACAAATGTGTTTTGGGAGTTGGGGGTTCTGTGGATTTTAGTGATTATAGGAAGAGAAAGGAGGCTTGAGTGGGCTGGCTGCCTGGTGGGATGTGGCCTGAAAAAGAAAGGGTTCAGGAAATAAAAAGTGCCCATCCACCTGGCTGAAGTTGCTAGTCCAAGTTCAGGAGTAATCCATCCATCCATTTATCAAGCAGCTATACTGTGCTCATGAGATAGTTGATACCAAAATCTAGAAGAGATAGCTGGAACTCATATAAGCAGAACATTTGCAGGCTAAATACAATGCATTGATTTGATGACTGTGAGTAAAGAAAAATTTCAAAAAAGTTGAAGAAGAGGGTGATGGTCTCAATTGCTCTAATAGTCAGTGAGGAATTTGAAACTTTAATACCAGAACCAGCAGTTAAGTATCTTGGGGAAGCTCCTTTTAAATATATATGGCAACTTTTGCTACATTTTTATTTGCACTTATATATTATAAGAATTTTATCCTTTTATTTGCTCTGTAACAGGATACCTGCTGTGCGTCAGGCTCTGTGGAGGGACCAGGGACCTCCTACACTCAAGGACCCACAGTCCAGAAGGAAAGACAAACAAATAAATCCACAAGCAAGTGACCACAGGTTAGGACTATGGCCAGGGACGGTAGTTCAAGAGTGCTGCAGGGTCCTGAGGAGGGGCTGTCCATGCTGACCTAGGGGCCGGTGGGCTCGGGGGGCAGCTTCTTCCCCCTGGGTTTGACTTGCGTGAGTTGAAATCCCCTCCAAGTAATCTCCACATTTTATCTCTTCCTCTTCATCCCTGTAATTGTTCAGGAACTTCTCACTTCTCACCAGGAAGCATATAAAATGAGAAAAAGGCAGGATGGAATCCAGAGAAGAAGGCAGTGGAGCCCAAGAAAGAGCGTCAGTGGGGCAGAAGGAAGCTAATAGAGAAGTGGTGCTAAAGGCCAAGGGAGGGGCCTTCTAAAAGGAAGGGCTGGTCCACAATAAAAAATGTCACTCAAAGGTTGGGTGGGACAATGTATGAAGAGTGTCCTTTTGATCTGACAGCTGAGAGGTTTTTGATAACAGTCAGTGGGTAAAACTGGGAAGGAGGCAGTGTTTCTCTGCGGGGCCCGCAGTTTGGACAGTCCCCTTCACTTTGGGTGGTGTTTTTTTCTACCACCACGTACCCCAGGAAGGGACGTTACCCTGGAGCTTCTGGCTGACATCCCGGTGTCCTCCAACGCCACTGAAACATACTTGTCCTATCTGCCATCTCCAGACTCTCGGTCAACTTTGCTCCACTCCATAGTGATGTTTTCCTGAGTAAATCAGAAAAAAAAAAAAGAATCCTTGTAGACAGGCAACAACTAATTAGCAAATATGCAAAGCTCTCAGCCTCCTTTCCCTTATGCCATCATGGATCTGAGTAGGAGCTTCATGCATCTGACTGTAGAATGAAGCCTCCGTAGTGAAGTTCTTTCCATCCTTGGGGGTTTGGGTTTATGGAAACAAAGGAGAGGAAGGTGCTGGTCAGTTGGAGAATATGTGTAGACCACTGGAGCCTTGCTATGTACTATGGTCTGAATGTTTGTGTCCCCTTCAAATTCCTAAGTTGAAATGTTAATGCCCATCTCCATGGCATTAGTAGGTGGGGGTGCTTCTGGGAGGTGATTAGGTCATGAGGGCAGAGCTTTATGCCCTTGAAAACAAATGCCCAAGAGAGCTCCCTTGCCTCTCTGTCACGTGAAGAAACAAGGAGACGTCTCAACTCAGAAGCGAGCCCTCACTCAAACATGCTGCACCCTGATGTTGGACGTCCAGCCTCCAGCGCTGTGAGAAATGCATTCCTGTTGTCTCTAAGCTCCCTAGTCCATAGTTGGTTTGTTTTTCTATAGCATCCCAAATGGACCAAGACACTGTGCTTCTCAGATCACATGGGCTTGTGCATGGATGGCAGAAGGGGTAGCGGGGAGGGAAGGAGGCAGAAGGATGGAGAGACAGAGGCAGAAGAGAAAAAAATAAACAGCAGAGGAAGTAGTTTTAAATTTTCACTACCAGACAAGAACTAACAGACAAGAACTCGAGTCACACATGAAAGGGCGAGGGCTACGCCCTCCATCTTGCCCTGAATCCTCCATTTTTGGGCAGCAGCCATGTGCTCAGCGAGGAGCTTCTTCCTGGAAGCCCCAGCCTCTGCTAGCCACACCTAGGATTTCTTTAAACTAACCAATGATAATCAAGGGAAGTGCGCGCCATAGACACAACCACATCCTGTGTAACAAGACACCGACTTGCGCCTGGCCAATTGGCAGGGCCCACAGTCCTCTCTCCTCCCCTTACTCCAACCCCCCTATAAAACCCCTCTACCCACAAAGCTCGCTCTCTCTGCCCCCTGCCGCTGCGTCGGTGAGTGTGGTGGACGGGGAGATGAGCTAGCTCGAATAAAGACTCTTATGCTTTTGCATTGAACACGGCTGGCTCCCTGGTGGTCTTTTGGGGATCCTGAAATCTGGGCATAACAACACACATGCCTATAGTTAGGACCTCAGGTTTTCTGTCTCATCCTTTATGTTCCCTCCAGATAGTAAAACACCTAAAAGTACCTTCAGGCCTATTCTTCAGCATGACAAAATTTCCTGCTTCTTGTCTATGTGGACCAAAGAGGACTGAGATTACATCTTTTCTTTTTTCCCCCAGGGATTTATTAGAGAGTCTCGGGATTAAATGTCTGTGGAAGGGAGGCGAGGATGGGCAAAGGCAGCAGTTGAGCTGGGATGCCTATCTAGGAGAAGCCGCAGATAACCTGCAGGGAAGGATGAAATGGGATGCCCTTTAGAGATCGCCTTAGAGATGGCTGGTGCTGACAAGAAAGGGCCTTTGAAGCTGGAATCAACCAGTCCCTGGATATGATTGATGGGCAGGAACATAGCTTTAGGGGAGGAAGGTACCTCCCTTGAGCTGTGGCAACCCCCAAAGGGGACTGGAAGATGAGGGCTCGCTGTTGGTGGCACTCCCAGAGGCTGAGATAAGGGCTCTTTTATTCCTGAAGGGGATTCAGGTAGCTTATCACACCCATTACACTCTTCAATGTTATATAACATCATACAATTTTGCAGATAGAATGGAGGAGGGAATAAATATTGCAAAACCATGTTGTCAAATTGCTATTTAACAGAACATTAGGTTTAAAAATATTACCCATTCAATTAAATTTCTCCCCCTCTTATAATGACTTTTGCCTCCAAGGGGGTCACTGAAGAGCAATTTGTTTCACAGAGCAGCCAAGCTGTTAATATGACTATCTAGATATAGAGAAACAATGTTTTTACAATGGTGATTGCTAAGAATGGTTAGAAATAAAGGGAAAATAAAATTTTTATGTTTTTGTTTTATCTAGTAACATTAAAACAAAAAAGATTGCTCTATAGGTTTGGCAGCAGGCAAGGAGGTAGGTATAAGACACTCCCAGCTTGCCACGAAGTTCTAAGAGCCTCCATCTGTCTTCTGCGTCCATTGCTAATTCCCCTCAGGTTTGCAGCTTTCCATCCTTGGTTTACGAAAAGAGCTCAGTTCTCAGGGTTAGTACAATCTGCGGGCCAGCAAATAACTAGCACTGCGGAATCGCCTTCTTCAATGTTTACAGTCCTTGATGGCTCCTAGATGCCTCTGGATGAGGTTTAGACCCCTTAATATGGTCTCCCAGGTGCTGCAAGATCTGACCTGGTGGCTCCACATGCCTTTATCCCCCTTGCTCTCCTCTTTCAGATCCTGGACATGCTTTGGCTTTTGCTCATTTCCTGTCCCCTAAAATATCCCTCCCTTCCCATTCCCAAAGCTCTCTCCAACTTTCCCTGGCATTTCATTATATTTTAACTGTCTATACCCCAAATAAGGTCCAGAATCTGCATGGCTCAATCCTAAATGCAGATTGTATTTAAAGCAACAGTGGTCCAGCATTGCAAAGGTAATTGAAAGCATTTTAATTTTTACCACAATTGAAAATGCCTGAGTGGGCACACAGTCTGAACATTCAGCTGAACATCTTAATCCTTTCTTTACCTTATTCCCATTAACTCCCCCATGCTCTGAAACTTGTATACGCTCCAAAACCAACCAGGAGATGTGATAAGGAAAGGGTCTGGGAACTTGGTTTTGTTTGCTAGTTTAAATACATTTTTTTACTGATTTCAGAGAGGAAAAGAGAGGGAGAGACATAGACACATCATTGATAACAGAGAATCATTGATTGGCTGCCTCCTGCACGCCCCCTACTGGGGATTGAGACTGCAACTTGGGCATGTGGCCCAATCAGGAATCAAACCATGACCTCCTGGTTCAGAGGTCAAAGCTCAACCATTGAACCACACTGGCCAGGCTGTTTATTTTTCAGGTGATGAAAACGTTCTAAAACTGGCAATTTATGTGTCTGAATAAAATTGAAAAATATACTAAAAACATCGAATTGTACACTTTAAATGGGTGAAATGTATAGTATGTAAAATAAAGTTGTTATTAAAAAACACTTCCTTACAAATCGGTCTTCCACATGATAACTATGAATTTCACAAGAGCACTTTAAGATCCATCTGTAGCAGTGGTCAGCAAACTCATTAGTCAACAGAGCCAAATATCAACAGTACAACGACTGAAATTTCTTTTGAAAGCCAAATTTTTTAAACTTAAACTATATAGGTAGGTACATGGTTATTAACTTAATTAGGGTACTCCTAAGGCTTAGGAAGAGCCACACTCAAGGGGCCAAAAAGCCGCATGTGGCTCGCGAGCCGCAGTTTTCCGACCACGGCTCTATAGGACAAGGCTATCCCCTAATCTTCTATTTACCCATTTACATGTGCATCCTCCAAGGATTATAGAGAGACACTCACAGCAGGACTAGTTTTCTTGCTGGGAGGATTCACATTGCATGTTGGTCAGCTACTTCAAGCAATAAATGTATTGCTGGAAAATTATCTTTAAATCTTTAAAAATGGGTATTACAAATAAAAATTTAGTTCAAATATTTTAGGGGTGTTTATTTTTAGAAAATTCTTGTTAAACATAAAACTTTTTCTAATAAAATTTTATTTTAAAATAATTTTAGGTTTACAGAAAAGTTGCATTTTTACAGAGGGTTCCCAGTTTCAGATTCCCTGAATATGACTATCTTTCATATTTTTCAGATGCATTTGTCAAAACCAGGAAACCAACATTGGGATAGTACAATTAATTAAACTTCAGACTTATTTGAATTCCACCAGTTACTTCAAAAATTATTTCAGAATTTATTACAATTGACTGGGATTCTCTTTTTCTTTAACGTCTAATACTAAACTTTAATTTTTTTAGATTCTAGTGCTTTGGAAAGAAATATGTTCTAAATTATAAGACAGAGTGACTCTTACTTTCCCAGAGGTGAAATGTGAGTATATATAAAATTTTAAAATTATGATTTTTTTATTTTAAGATGTGAATGAGTGAGGAAACACAGTAAAAGCATCTCAAACTTTACTAGTTCAGAGGACAAAATGAGAGAATATTTTTCATAATCTTAGATTGGAAACCTCTCTCTATAATATGACATAAAACTTAGAAGCCCAAAAGGAAAAGATTAATATTAAATTTTTCTCACAGAAAATAAGTATATAAAAAAGATAACACAAAAATGACTATTTACCAATAATAGAACCAACAATTCAATAGAAACATCACATTATAAAGGACTCAAGTAGAAAATTCACAGAAAAAGGATATTACATGGATTATTAGCAAGTGAAAATTCTCTCCAACCTGATTCAAAATAAGGCAAAAACACATAAAACCATAATCAGATACTATTTTTATCCTATTAGATTGGAAAACACGAGAAGGATTAACAGCACATAACACTGGCAATAATGTAAAGAAGGAGCTAGTACTCCACATTGCTGGTTGAAATATAAATTGATGCCACAATGTTGTTGGCAAAGTATGGATTAGTACGCCCATTTTACAGATGCAGATACTGAGTCTCAGAGAAATTTAGTAAATTGCCCAAAAGCTCCCAGCTAAGTACCAGAGCTGTGATTCAGACCTATATTTAACTGAGCCCAGAGCCCACGCCCTTCACTAGTACACATCCTACCTGCAGTAGTCACCTAGGCAGAGGTGAGGTGGCCGCTGTTAGGGGTAGTCCTAGGAGGGCACGTGATACAGGTCATGCAAGTTCTAGACAACCCTAAGGCTTTCTTCCAACTCTGTTTGCCTTTGTTATGTTTGATAATCAAAGCAAATGTTGTCACAAGGATATTTTTAAGCAAAGATAATTGATTTAATATCACTTTAGCTAAAGCATTAAATGGTGCTTAAAACCCAGGGGGAGGGATATGAAGCAGAAAAGTGAGGTGAGTAATCCACAGCACCTAATTATAAGTTTAACTGCAGATACAATCAGCTCATGACACACCTGCAAGGTGGAAAATACATGTTTAGGTGATTCCTCTGTGAAGCTTCCACTAAACACCCTGTGTCAAAGAACCTCCTGACGTGCAGCATTTGGCCAAGCCCACTCAAGGAATGAGTGTGTGCCATTTACTTAGTAAGACTCACACTTGACATGCATTATTTGGACATGTGATTATCTTGCCTATATTGAAATGATGCAAATGCAAAATGTAAGATGTGATACTTGAAGTCTCCCAGCAACAAAAAGGCTGGTGACAGAAATGGTGGTCACAGGGACTCCAACAATGAAAGGCTGACTACTGCAACTTTCAGAAGGAGTTCACACGTTTACACATAGTATGAGCTTCTGCGTGACTACTCATGTTTTTAAGAACATATAAATCAATTCATAACTCACTGTTACATCAGAATTATGGAAACAGAAAGATGAACAGTAGCCCTGGCCAGAGTAGGTTGAGCATCGACCTATGAACCAGAAGATGGTCGGTTTGATTCCCTATCAGGGCACATGCCCAGATTGTGGGCTCGATCCCCAGTAAGGGGCATGTAGGAGGTAGCCAATCAATGATTCTCTCTCATCATTGATGTTTCTATCTCTCTCTTCCTCTCCCTTCCTCTCTGAAATCAATAAAAATATTAAGTATATTATAATACATTTGGAAGTGGGAGCTAACCTGAATAAATGAGAACAACTTAAAACAATATAGGTTTGTG